ATTAATCAGAAGCGGTGACGAGTCAGTTGTTTGGAGAGTGAAGCATCTGTGGTGCTTACCATTAGAACTCTATTATGCTTAATAACTGAGTATCAAAAGACTGTATTAGCTGTCAGTAATGCCATTATCATTAATACTACCAGTGCTTAAACAAATGAAGCTGCTGCCCCGTTGAGAGTGGATAGTGACAGGGCCAGATAACTAATTAGCAGGTCCCAAAGGCAGCTGGTTACTGTGAAAGGCACGGTTAAGGTGAAGACGCGGGGCACAACGCTCTTCTCTTTTTTCAGCCGCCAAAAATTCAGTCATTAATTCAGCAGAGATTCCTGGCATCAACATGAATCAAACCTTTTCTAAGGGATGTATAGTATAGCACTTTCAGAGGATAAAGTCTGACTTAAGTTCACAGTTTCAAGTCTATATACATAGTACTAGGTTTGAAATTGTAATTTGTACTTCTACAAGTTTTCTGTGCTAGGTGCCTGCAAGTATTACAGAGCAACAGAATTCAAGTACATGGAAGAGACAAGATATTTTTATTTAGCTAAGTCTGTAGTAGCATTTTTAAAAAAAAAACATTTAACTGGAATGAAAATGTTCATTTGAAAATGTTGAGCTCAGTTAAAATCCACAGTGTCTTCTGTGGTCTGAAGTGTATGTATAAAGAAACTTAATTTCACATAATAATAACTTAAGTAAATGGTTTCTCATGAATAAAACTTTATTTATTTTTTGTGTGGCTGTCTAATAATTATTAGACCCAACATATTTTCCCCAAAAGTTAGTGGTTTAACTGATTGTTTACATTATCTTTGCTCACATGATAGTAATTAAGAATTTTCAAAAGAATCTTGTTCTCTGAAAAAGGAAAATAAAGTAAACAGGCCCTTCTCAAAATGACTATATGTCTAAGAATGTGGAACGAATGATGTACCAGCCAGCTTGTAACCCTTATTTGCAGGAAGTCTGTTCATTACTGGTCCTATAAAGGATGCAGACAGCTCTGCCAAACTTATAGCTGCAGGGATCTCTTAAGTCATACTGCGTTACTAGGGGAAAACTAAAATGCTCACATGAACTTTAGTGTTCATACTCAACACTGTGAAACACTGGAGCACAAACAATCTACTAAAGATAGCCTTAGCCCTTTGGGACATATAGATGCTTTCTCAGTTTCTTTGCCTTGACACAGCATATTACGGAACTCTTGTCTATTAAACACGCAACCTCAAATTTTTGCCACTTTGCTCCTTTCAGAAACACGCTGGAAAGAAAGCAATTTTCCTTTCAATTTTTCCTTTGTCCCCAATATCTTGATGCAAAAAGCAGAACTCTGACAAACAAACAGATTGCTCTAAAGACAGGATTCCGGGGGTAGCCTTTAATTCAACAAGCATAGACTATAGAAAGTTTGCAGCTACTATTTTAGTCTCTAAATTAGAACAATGACTCTTTTGTGAAGAATCTGAAACATCTATGCATATACGCATAAGCAAGACTAAACAGTTCCTCCTCCAAAACTGTCTTCTCCTACAGCATCCCATTTGTAGGAGATGCAAAGAATGCCTTTCTGTCGTTCACCTCTGGTTAGCCACTATACACGTGGGGACAGAGATTTAGGGAAGGCATGCCACACCAACATGACTTGCTCAAGTAAGAACAAAGTATCTGAAGGGATCATAATTGGTACTCACACTGTGAACACCCAGAGCCTTCCAGATGGCAAAACTTATCAGTCCAACTCCACACCATGCATACAAGGAGCCCCATCCTAGGGCTCGTAAGGCCAGCGATGAACCACTTTCTGGTAATGCAGCTGTGGCAGTAATACCCTAGGATCAAAAATAAAGTGATCAGGTGAACAGTAACTGAAAAAAAGACATAAACTAAAAAAGTTAACAGTGCTCCAGAAGTTTGTCTGACTTGCCAACTGTACTAGTGTGGCTACAGAAACTCTGTTAGGGCCAGCAGACCCAGAGAGCCAAGCAAGGGGCAGACAAGCTGTCTTCCCACCAAATCGTGGTGAGACAGAAACTTTACATGGACTGGAGCCCTACATTAATGCTATACCAGCATAAGAGGTTCTTTAAGTAGGTTCAGCCACCTTCCAGGAATTTCTTTACCCACTTTGCACTACCTTCCAGGAACAGCTTTCAAGTTGCCAGTAGCACCTGGGGATGATTTTTACTGCATGAGAAACTGTCAACTGTTTTGTGGGCATAACAAACTGACATTCAGTTATTCCACCAGTCAAAACACAAAATGGGTCAAAAATAAGAGTAGGCATTTTAAACTACTTTTTAAGGTTCCAAAACTTAGGAGCTGTCCATAAAATTTGTTCCGCTAACATAAAACACTTCACTCAGAAAAGTCATCCCAGGCCAAGAAGAATGGAGCCTCAATCATGATGGAGTCCCAACCATGATGAAACCTTTTCTGTCACAGCACATAAATGCACACCTGCAAGTTTACTGTTAGCCAGCCGTTCCCACATTGCCGTGCCCACTTTAGTGTATTTATTTCCTAATACAGGAAATTCTTTATTTTCCTCATGAGGTTCACTGTTCAATTCTTCACACAGAAACATAGATTTTAGAAGATAATAGTTAAGACTGGCGTCTGAACAGTCTTACTGGGTACCTTAAAAATTAACTGCTCAAAGGTGAACATAAATGTGTGTGCCAGCATACAAATATATTCAGTAAAAATTTATTTAAAGTCTAAAATTCTGAAAAGTAAAACTATCATGCAGAAGGATCTAAAAAAATTTCCTCCAAAACATGCCAAAGATTTGCACTTTTCTAGTCTTTATTCATCACAAAAAGTGGGAAAAATATTTTGCATTCTCTCTTTAAAGATTAGAGTAAAAATTTTGCTCTTTCTTCTTTGATGCATTTTAACATATGGGCAGCACCTATCATTATAGTATTTGGTCAATGAAATAGCATCAGTAGGGTTTTTTTCCCTAGGCTTTGTATTTATCAGAATGTTAAAAAGATCTTCAGGCAATCCTCAGCGTTAACACTTTTCCTTAGGATTCAGTCCTAGGCGTAGCTGCCCAAGGACAAATACACACTTGCAAAGCGCATACGCAAAAGCTATCTTGATTCTTATTTATTCTGATTTGCACATCCCAAAATGGAAGCCGTTAACAAAACAGCGCTCTGGTACAGGCAGTGTAAACAAAGTAGGTCCAGTTCTGACCTTAAGTGTGCCCCATTTAAAATTTGGGCACGCATAAATGTAGCATGTGTGTCTATATGTCTGTGTGTGTGTGTGTATGTATACACACATATACACATATATGCACACAGACACAAATGATAGAGATCTCTAGTCACATCATTAAACTAGGTTCTATTATTGCCTTACCCCAGCTAATAAACTTTCATCCCTCTTGCAGTAGAGATTGCATTGATTAGATGTAAAATTCCTGATGATTAGACTATTGAAAGAGGAATAATGTCATAAACATGTACAACAGTTAGAAGAATTTCTCTAGTTTGGAAAACGGAAAACATTGACAGAAATATTCTCCACACAGAACCTTTAAATAGGAGTCATTATCTGTGAAAATTACTGGCAGAGAAAAGAATGCTATTTAAATGCTTGATTGCCCAGGAAAAAAAAGCAAAAATGGAAACAATTGATATGGCTTTACTGACAGCAGTCAAAGGGTGTTCAGTCACAAGCTGGTTCCTCAGGGGTACTAAGCAGACAGACAAGAGATTTCTGTAAACAACACTGTCATATGATTATCAGATATGTTGATAGGCTTTTCCAAGCATCAAGAAAGCTGATTAATGAAATGCTAAAAAAAGAAAAAGACAACAGTAAAACAGCATGGAGGAAAACTATGTCACCAAAAAAAGAACATTTTAAAGAGAACAAAGTTTTATTCACAAGCCTGTTATTCTATGTACACATTGTTTTCTCTTCATTACTGCTCCTACTTTTTAAAAAAAGAAACTCTCTGATTTAATAAATAAGCTATTAAGAAAATGCTTGAGTCTTTTTAAAAATTAGACAAGGAAAATATAGGACAGAATTAGGTGATTTGGTTCCCAAAACGTATGCTTCACATTTCATTTCTTTTTCTGGAGGATATAAGCAGGAGAAGGAGAAATGATACTATTTTTTTTTCAGACACAGGCCTCAGTCCTGTAACTATCCTCTTGTGGATAAGATCTGTGCCTGAAAGGAAGCTCTGCTATGTTCAAGGCGCCTAAAATAAATGGTATGTTCAACTGCTTTGGTTGATTGTATTAAGTTTGCTCACTGCTTTATATGACTTAGCCAACTACAAATTAAACACCTGGATAAATGCTGGCTACTGGACACTTACTGTGGCATCTTGAGCATTTAATTTTACCCAACAGAAAGAATCATTTCTTAACTGAAGGTTTCTGCCGTGGTTCATGACAAAACAGGAGTATGTAATCTCAGTTTCAAGTAAATTTGGGCTCCAAATATACAACTGCTTACAATATTTGATTAACTTCACTACCATGGAAGAGGCACACTAAGTTCAATTTCAACTTTATCTCTTGCCAATAGCGTTGACGATACTCTGCAAGACTAGGGTCTTGTACTCTAGCTTACTGAAAATCTGCATGTAGTCATGAAGCTGACTGTGATGCTACAGCTTCAGAAAAATATTGCTATTTTTTCTTCCATAATCTATTTATATCTGACCCAGGCTGCATTATGCTTGCTTCTTGTTTTTGCTTTGACTTGAATGCTGCAGTTTCACAGACACAAGAACTGGCACAAGCCAGCAAAAACCCTGAAATAGGTCTCGCATCACTTCCCAATATTGACTAGTAATTCTCATTCCTGTGGACCTTCCCATAGCTTCAGGCCAGCACAGTCACTGTGGTCATGAGTGAGGTAGATCAGAAGACCAATCTGGACTAAAAGTAATGTAGGGTAAAAATAAGTAGAATGAATAGGTATTATCTCATCCATCAACCTAGGAGCGCAAGTGCTGGTGCTGGTACAGGGGCAGGAATGAGTTACCAGGAACTAAGACATGGTATGGTTACTTCTTTGAACAGCAATGCTGGCTTTTATTTGCCTAAAGTGACTGTGAAACTATGGCTTCACCCTAACAAGGATAAAAGTAATATTTGGGCACTGAACATCTAAGAAGGATATATTCTTCTTTAGTTACCCATATTTAAACTTCCATTATTGTACATGATGTGCTACTACAAATAATAAGCAATGACCTGCAGTAAATAACTATAAATTTACATAAGCACGCCTACTGCAAAACCGTTTTTCTCTTTGGTCACAAAACCTCAGAGAACCTCTACAGATACCTGTCATTTTCAAACTCGAGCCTTCCTGTTTGAAACTGTTCACCTGCCATTACCTTGACAAGATGCATTTTCTTTCTGTACTTCACAGCATTTAAGTTGAGGGGTCCAGGAGTTACAAATTCTGCTAGCAAACTGTTGGAATTCACTTGCACAGATAGTAGCAGATACAGATTTTCAGCAAGAAATGGTATGGTATGTATCACTCAGTGCCATTTCCAGCACATATGTTCCAGGATGTCAATTTAATGCCACTCTTGATAAATTTCACACTGATAGCGGTCAGGTCAGGTCAGACAGCCAAGAACATACAGCACTGAAATTGTGCTAGCGGGGAAAAATGCAATGCCCAGGAAAAAGTATGTTTAAAAATACAACAAAGATGGTAAGAAACAAGACAAAAAAAAACTTCTTTCTTGTAATATATTTCTATAGCTTGTGGAACAACTTCTCATAAACTTTTCTGTTTTATCTATTTCAAGTAAGAAACCCACATTTATTGTTAAGCCTCCATTTCAAAATCTTAGATTTCTAGAATTCACAGTACAATAAGGAGTTACAAAAGAAACAAATGGGTTACCTTTATATAAAGCCACTGAAACTACACTCGTACACCAAGACATTTTAATCAAGGAATATTTTAACTACTGCTCCATTATTTCTTTTTATTCCTCAAATCATTTTTTCCTCAAAAAGTAAACTTTACACACTACCCTTAAGGTTCAAAACAGATATCTGAGCTTTGTCAGACTAACAAAATTAAATCTGCAACTTACAAAGTGCAATACTAACTCAGAACAAAGTACAAACAATTTCTACGACCTTCCTGGTTTCTTTTCTAAAACTTCTATTTAACTGTTTATTAAAGTTTACGGTTCCAAAAAGTCTGCTAGAACTGTGCCTAGGGTCAGAAGACAAATCTCTCTCGCTGCTCCTGGATATAATGGGATTTAAACAAACAAACAAACCAAAAGTACCTTGTAAGCTTTCCACTATTGAGATCCTCTGCTATTTATTTTCTTATTTAAAACTGTCAAGATCTTACTATTCATTTCCTGAAAAGACAGTGAGTTCTTCCTTTCTGAATGGCCAGTGGGTGAGTTATTCGACAGTTCTTAGCTGCATACAGCAGCCTAAAGAGGAAAATAACGATGGCAAAGGAAGGATACTTCTTGGGCCACAAAAGGAGACTGTTGAGCGATCGCATATAACAGCTCTGATGAGCTTAAAGTGCTATGGAAGAAAACACTCTATTTTTTTCTCTTGTATTTTTATTAAACTAACACATTAAAAATAAACACAACTGATCAGTTTTCAGCTTCCTCAAAAATTCTGTAATATCTGTAGTATTTTAAAGGTGCAGCGGAGTAGAGAGTGATCAGTTTTAAGGGCCTATTTTTGATATGTTCAGCAGTAACAAAGCGTTAATGAAGGCAAAAAAAGTGTTCTTCAATTAAGTGTGCTATACTTTGGATTCATTTACAGTCATGGTGTAATTGTTAGTTTTGCTTTGCAGTTTTCTCTTCTTTTTTTACAGAATACTCAGACTGATCCTGCTATGCAATTGCATGAGATGTAGTTTTGGCCACCAGATCTCTTAGCATCAAGCTAATTAGCACCAAGCTAACTCATTCTCTTCTGTCCCCTTACACAGTAGGAAGAGGGTGAAGAGCTCAAATTTTAACTAAATAATGCCACATTACATCTTCCATAGCTTCCTGTGTTTTCATTCCTATCCCTACTCCAGCCATCTCCCTTCCCAATCCAATATATCACTGTGGGACTGAATGGTAAATTGGATCATGGAAGTGATACAGGCTCACGAGAATGAAGTACATTCATATCATAGCATCAAAAGGGATAATTAATTATATTTCATTATATAGCAGTAGTATGATTACAGCAAACAGAGTGAGTGTTATGCTGTTTTATTTCAACTAATCCAAAGCACTAAAGTATTAGGCAGTGCCAACTTCAAATTGATTTTTACATTAATCCTATTCCTCTTGACTTCAGTTAAGTCTAATGCTCCTAACCATCAACTCTGTACAGCCAAACCCCGCATGTGTCACCATTTCCGTAAAGGATTTAATGCATTCTTTTGTCCTGTATATCATCACTGGAAAACAGTTTGAAAGGAACAAACCTTACTGAACCAGTTTGGGTTCTTCTTTTTTGCCATGGCAAGTGTCGTGCCAAAACCTGCTATCATTCCTGC